CTCCAAGAATTCCCCAGCCAGAGAGTTTAAGACCACATCTCTGAAAGCTGCCAAGGTTGAGAAACACAGCCTCACAGTCAAGGATTTTGTATGTGCACATGCACATGCGCACACACCCCCACACACACACATCTCAAGACACTTATCTTATTTTCATACAAGTGTATTTGGGGTTTCCTTTCACCTTTTTCCTAAATATTAGTATTGTTTATATCACAGAGAGTTTAAATTTATAATGGAGCTAAGTTAAGCATCATTTTAGGTGAAGTCTGAAAATAGCTGGATGCAATTCCATTCATACCTTCATTCACCAACAACAGAAAAGTATACTGGAATCCATTTCCTTACCAAATTTATCTTGTGCTTCTTTCAGATCTATAAGCAAACAAATTGAGGAATCAATGAAAGACTTAGGGAAAACCCCTTATGTCAGTTTTAGTTTATTAGTTGCTCTAAAATCTGCAGGGGTGGAAGGCTGATTAAAATGGTTCGGATGAGGCATCTGATGGAACTTAGGCAATTTCCTGCTTGCCTGTTACCAATACTGCTGCAGGCCTGTATAGAGATGGCCCAGGCAGTGGACACCATCACTTCTTTCTTCAGTCTAGCATTGCTCAACTGCCATTTTGATTTGCCAGGTAGCTCATAGCAATTATTGTAGAGGGCTGGAGCACAAATAGAGTTATTCCCATGATGGATCAGATCAAATACAGAGAAGGGCCCTTTCAGCTTAGTTGAAATTCATCTCCACAACAGTGGGTACAGTGAAGAGGGCTTCTTTGCCTCCATTGTGTCCTTTGTGCCTTCACAGAAGAAGCCTGCAATGGTCTCCATACTATGCAACATTTCCTCAAACAAGATATTGAGGGGAGCAGAGCTGGAACAGTCAGAGGATCTTTGTAAGCAATTTTCATCATTCTTTGCAAAAAAAGTATATTAGATGTGCTTCAGCTTGGACTCCAGCATTGTGGCACATCCTAGAGAGGTAACACTAGCAACTGCTTGTCAGTTTCATATTCTCAGCTGCCTATATGTATAAATTGTAATGGTTTTAATGGTTTTATTTATTAAAATTCCTCTCAGAGACACTTGCATTGAGATAGGTGGCTATAGAAATTGCATAAATAAACAAACAAACAAGGATTCTTTATTGATTTCAAGAATGCAGAAAAGGAATATGGAGAAATAAGGGATACCACTTGTTTGTTCAACTTTGCTTTTCCTGGCTGATTAAACCTGTCAGGATAGGACTGACCCCAGGATTAAGAGAGGTCTTTTGGTAGATATCCCATGCTGAAAACTAGACAGCAATAGTGCAACTCTTCCACTTCTCTAAAACCTCTCAGAGGCCTTCAGTAGCATCAATCATAGTATCCTTCAGGGCTGTCTGGCAGATCTGGGCCTTTCTGATATGCCCAGTAAGGGGGGTTGGGGACTACTGTTCAACACTTCAGCCATTGACCTATGGTGTTGTACAGGGTTCTATCTTGTTTCCTATGCTGTTTAACACCTACATGATACTGCTGGGGGAGAATCTTTAAAGTTTGGTTCAGTATGCTGATTATACCCAGCTCTTCTGCTTTCTAACTTCTCATTCTAAGGAAATGAGCAATAATCTTGATCATTTCCTAATCTCAGTAATGGGCTGGATAAGGGAAGACAAGCTAAAATTAAATCCAGACAAAACAGAGGTGCTGACAGATCCTATGACTGAGGTTGTATTCTCCCAAGAAACAGATTCACAATTTGGGAGTGCTTTCTGACCCCCCAACTACCCCTGGATTTCCAAATAGCACCAATGGTGAGAAGCCTGTTTGCACAATTATGGCTAGTATGTCAACAAGCCCTTCCCTCCTGACCCTTCCTTAGTGACACTAAGCCAACTTTGGTTACAAGCCACCTTTATTTCAGTGTGTTTTATGTGAGGTTACTCTTGAAAAGTGTCCAGAAATTGCAGTTTGCGCAAAATGAGGTACTCAAGCTGCTGATCATCATGGGGTAGGAGGATCATATCATGCCCCTATTAAAATACCTGAAGTAGCTAGAATTGCCTATTGGCAGAGTTTATGGTGCTACTCTTAACATTTAAAACCCTGAATGGCATAGGCTATGATTATATGAGCCTTGTCTCTTCTACTACGAACCTTGCTTTTATTCACATCAACAGGAGAGGGGCTTCTGAAGATATTCCAATTGTCAGAAGCTGAACTTTTGATTACTCAGGAAAGGGTCTTCTCCTATGTGGTTCCAGGGATATGATATGTGCTCCATAAAGAGATGTTCTTGGCTCCCCCTCCCCCATGTAAGAAAATAATAAAAGTAAACCCATTTCACTCAACTTTTAAATATTAACAATTTAATGATTAAATTCATTCTTTTATATCCATATTCTTACTGTTCTGAGTGTTGGAATAAAGAGGAAGGTGGCACATACATTAAATAAGCAACACTAAACAGCTCCTTGGAAAAGACCCTGATGCTGGGAAAGATTGAAGGCAAAAGGAGAAGAGGACGGCAGAGGATGAGATGGTTAGATAGCATCACTGAAGCAATGAGCATGAAACTGAGCAAACTCAGGGAGGCAGTGAAGGACAGGAAGGCCTGGCGCAATACGGTTCATGGGGTCACGAAGAGTCGGACACGACTTAATGACTGAACAACAACAACAACAACAACAACAACAAAACAGCTACAGAATTACCTTTTTCAAAGAGTTTTTTTTCACTTTCTGGGGAAAAAATAGAGTAGAGTTAGACCCCTAGTGGCTAAAGCATTAATTGTTTAAATAAATAATCAAATAGTATTCTAGACTTCATATTGATTCAAATCTTCATACTGATTCAATGCTCCTAGAGATGAGCATTGTTAAAATGTTATTTCAAGCTTTGAACAAAACAGCCCCATTTGGAATATTTTGCCAAAACAGTTTGTGTATGTTGTGTTCCAGAAGGAAAAAAAAATTAAATATTTTGAATGTTATGTATTATGGAACAAAGGGAACTTAAATCAAGCCTGTTACTCATTTTTTTTTTTTTTTTTTCCTAAGGCCATAAATATAGTTGGGGTGACAGCCTACAGTTCCTATAACAAACTAGCTTTCTAGCAGGTAAAGCTAAAGAAGCTAATTAAACAAACATGGACCTTGGAACAAAATTCTCCACCCTAGTTGTAAAGGAACATGTATCACTCAGTGAGGTCTTTCTTCAATTTTGATCAGCACCAAGGAACTTAGAGTTAGCGTTAGCAATTGACTAAGTAACATTACAATTATTTCAGTTAACTGTTAGCTTGTGGGCATGGTATGATACCTTATGGAACAAAATGCCCCTTTTTGTCCTATATCCATTTATCCCACATTCAGAATAAAATTTTAAAACATGACAATTGAGGTTTTTGCTCTCCATATTGAATGTTTTTTATACCCTATTCTAGCTCAGTTTCTGAAAAAAAAGAATCTGCATGGAATTGCTATGAGACCCTACAATAAATTATCCAGTAAACTGGGTTATTCAACCTTCAGAACTGAAGAATGCTCTTACCTCGAGAATTTTGAAGGCTTAATATTTCTACAAGAAATAAGATGCATGTTACACATTGATACAGGAGAAAATGCATATGAAGATACAAAACATCATATGCTAAAATATTATCAGTTGATATCAGGTGGATATTCAAAACCGATTATACATGTGTTTCATCGTAATAGGAAAGGAAATAATTCATAGACATACCTACTTGACCTAATACTTATGTTTTCCATATGCATACATGTTTTTATAGGAGAATAGGCTAAATATCAGAGGACTGTTCTATAAACAGTTTAGTTTTAGATTCGGCAGTAAGGGCAGCTTTGAATAAATGCCATGTTCCCCATAGTACAAGCTTAGCCTCATACTTTGTATGCATACATGTCCTGTACAAGACAAGGTGATATTATGCATATCATAATGTTGTGGTAGAGGGCAGAGGAAATGGCCTTAAAGGACAAGAGAAAGCACAGCTACCAAGGCAATGGTCAGATAAAAGGGACTTAAGCCCAGGCCAAGAAAGTAATGAGGGTAAACATCTGAGTTAAGCCTCTTCCTAGTTCACACAAAGATAAACGGAGGGAAGTGGGGAGCGCATTCTGACTTCCAAGCTTCTGTAACTATAGCTCTACAATAAATGTAGTACAAGTCTGGTCTACCTTAAAGGGCTGACAACTATTGAGCAAATTATGCAAGTAACATAATTCAGGTTATTTATGCAATGACATCATGACATGTGTAACATCACTCAGCCTCAACAAATGTCTTTGTTTTTACCAGCATATGTCTCTGTGTGACTATCATAACAATAATAAACAGCAGCAACAGGAAGAAGGAAAAAGAAATCCATAGTTACCATCCTGTAGAGCATTCTTTTCATTTACTGTACATGAAAGATAAGAACAGCAATTGAAACATGATGATTTGTATCCTTTAAGTCACTTTAAACTTTATAACATAAAATTAAATTTGCCACCAAAGTTAGATTTATATCTCAGATTTTCACATTCTCCAGTGTGCTCCATCTGACAATGTGCACAGCTTTGCCTAGAGTCACCACCACCACCACCACCACCACCACCTTTTATCTTCACTTCCTACTGGTGTCATCCAACATATCACTCTTGTAAGATGATACTATAACTGACCTGCCTGAGCAATCTTCAGTTTGTCTCCTGGAATGAAATATAAAAACATGATTTTTAATGCAAGTACATATGGACAGAGTATTTACATATGAGTAAAGCATTCTAAGCATCATGTGATAATGAATGCCCATGTCTGACAAGTATTTTGACAAATCCAAGAGAGGCATATCAACCCCGAGACTTTTGGTGTATACAGTACATAAAATTCCTAGAGGTGAACTCCAAATCCTAGTATCGTGTTTATGATGAATTTCCTTTTTTAGCTGGTGGTAAATAACCATATCCTATGTATTGCCAAGCAGTTAAGAGCTTTTTAGAAACTGCATTTTAAAGTGAGACATAAAATTATTAAAATGTAGTTCAGTTCACTGTTTGCCCACACAGGTGCTTCTCGTTTTCTAATAGCATTTATGATAAAACTTACTTTTTAGTTTAAAAACAGTGCCGATTATGAGAAGAATGCCAAGCACTGCAATCAGAAAAAAGGCAACCATGTATCCGGATATGGCAGGGAAAAAGGTATCTGTAAATAAAAAGAAAGTACCATTAAACTACATAATACTGATTTTTGAGTTGTTTCATGACCGGAAGGCTAAAAAAATAAAAGGCAGTTACAGAGAGAGAGATACATAGTTAAGACAATTAATGTTTTCAATCCGGGGATTGCTCAACCTCATAAGCTATGAATTCTGACCTTCACCTCCAGTTTCAATTTGTATAAACAATTATACATACTTTCCCCTCTCTGATCCCAGCACTGTCTCACCATTTGGTGCCCACCATTTATTAACTGGGAAGTGCCAGATATCTTTAATATCACAACACTTTAAACTGAGTTAAACTAGTGTTAACAAAAGGAAAAATGAAAGCAGAGATGAGGCTAATCATGCAGAATTCTGAAAGTGTTCTATGGGGCTTGATACAATGACTATTATCCATATCTATAGAGCTGTCCATTCAATTGTGTCTAAATTTAGGTCAATACTCTATCATACAAGCATTAGGCCAATAGATGGAAGAGAGAGTGTCCATTCTAAGGAACAAAACAAACAGCACAATTAAGGGGTTAGATCTGGACCCACTACTACAGAGCAAAGTTTGATAATCTGGCACTTTCAGCGATATGATCGTACCCGACCCATTGACATGAACAACTGCTGAAGTTGTCCACAGTACTTGGAAGGTAGCAAAGTGCCTATCTCTGCTGAATAACCCTTGAAATAAATGGGATTTACATTAGCTATGATTTATACGTTATTTCACCATGCATACTTAAGTATTTTAGTGTATATGTGTATATGAAGAAAAAACATGAGTCAATCTGTAAGATGGAAAAATAATATGGATCCTGACATTAGCATTTCCTATCTCATGTCTTGATATTATATTTTCCCACTTAAGCTTCACCGGGAAGGAAAACCGTATCCACATTAACTTTAGACATACATATACTTTATTCAATATACATACACAGGACAATTTATCGAATGCTATCGCCAAGCAGTTCATGCAGTGGATAGAAAGTAATGCAAAAACTTATACAATACAGTTGCTTATTCACCTTCAATGACAAGGGATGTTGATTCCAATACGTGACCTGAAGATTTTCCGATGATCCTGCAGGAGATAGCATTGTCATAACCTGGCTCTAGAAGAAAATCCAGACTGGCATTGCCAAGAATGATTGGAACAGAAGCAAGTTCCTGGCCTTTGCTGTCCATCCATGAAAGCAGCAAAATCTCAGGTGACTCTTCTACTTTAGATTTGCAGATGAGTCTGATCCCACTGCCCTCATATTGCTGAAGCATAATCAATGGGCTCCTGATACCTGAAGACAAAAGAAGCTGATTTAATGTGAAATGTTTGCCTGCGTGCCCGCCTGCCTGCCTGCGTGCCTGCCTGCCTGCCTGCCTGC